AAAGAAGAAGAAACGGCGATTTTTCCGATTTCGTCTCGAATTAAAGGAATCTCCGATAATAATGATATACGGCGGTCCTTATAGCGGTATAACTTTGTCTACACCGACTCCGGCTGTTCATGGCGTATTCGGTGAAGCCAAATCGTTTTGGTTGGTTAGTGAAATCGGGAGAAGGTGACCGAAATCGGAGTCAAGCAATCTACATCGGAGTAATGGGAGCTCCAATCGTATTTCCAAGGTATGTATTTGTATTTTATTGTGTGAATTGATGCGAGTTCATTTGTTTGCAAATTGGGGTTTGTCGGTTTGTGAATTTAGGGTTAGTAGATTTGGGGGAAAAGGGTTTTTCATTGTTAACTGTATAATTAGGCTACTTTGAAGCTTGTATGTGTGTGTGTGAATGTTTGTAAGAATTGATTGATCTGTCTCTTAGCAACCGTACTGAAATAAATCATGAATTAGGGTTATGAGATTCAGATGTTTGTAAGGCATGATTGTAAGGCAGAAAGTTCAATTCGTTCACCTATATATTTGAAAGAGATTACCAGAAGCATTTGCGAATTATCACACATTTTGCTTTAGTTTAGGTAAGAATTCTTTAACTGGTATATGGGGATGAATTGATGCTTATCACACATTGTTTGTGTATGTTTGTGTCTTATAGCATGGAAATGAAACAAATTAATAATTGTTCAAGGTTAATGTGTTGAAATGCATGTAATTTGATATAGATTAGGTAATATCTCATTTGATGGGTCATATGTGGATGAATTAATGCTTTTAACACATTTTTTTTGTTTCTTCTTGTGTCTCGTATACCATGAATACAAATCAGATTAATAATTGTTTGAGATTAATGTGTTAAAATGCATGTAATTTGATATAGCTTTGGTAAGCTTTCTTTGGTTGTGTCATATGTGGATAAATTGATGCTTTTAACATGAATCATGTAGTGAATGTAGTGAATGTAATTTATATTTGTACTTGTCTGTTTTGTCAGTTAATTGATACGTTTGTTTGTTGTATTTCACATATGATGTGGGAGCTGAGAGGAGGGATGGAGTGTTAAGATCAAATGGTATGTGCTAAGATGGGTTGAGAAAAGCCAGAGATGAGAGGAGTAGTACTCCTATTAAATGGCCACCGAATGATTAGGGTAAGTAATTGGTCTCCTTTAGCTAATTCATATGATTTCAATAGTTTGTATTGATAGTCTAAGTAAATGGCCACATATTAGGTGAGAAGATGAGTTAAGTTGATAGTTACTTGTTTTTTTTGTTCAATGCGTGTTTGCTTTTTATTAGGTGCAGAGTGAAGATTGTCATTAAAAGCTAACCACATCTGTAAACTAACACTAACTCTTAACCTAACACATCTTTCATTCTCTTTTCATCTATTTTCATATGTTTACATCTTTCTTTCTCTTTTCATCTCTTTTCATCGATCATTCTCTCTAACTCTCATCTCACACTTCTCTCATTTTCTTTTGATTCTCTTCTCTAAATGGATCCATATACTAACTCAAGTGGATTCATGGAGCTTTTAACCAGTCAACAAGATAACCCAACCCTTCAGCCCAATACTTTCCAGTCAGCATACTTGGTGATTCTGAAGTTCCTTTGTTCAGCATTCAATGGTCTGAGCCACCTACTCAAGCTGAAATCCCCAAAGCTAACCCCATACCAAGAACAAGGAACACGTGGACAGTGAATGAAGACTTGGTGTTAATATATGCATGGTTAAACATATCCAAAGATGCAATAGTGTGAAATGAGCAAAGAGGAGAAGCATTTTGGAAACGGATTTCAGCATACTTTGCTGCAAGTCCCAATGTCTCTGGTCAGAAAAAGAGAGAGCCAAGCCATTCAAGCAAAGATGGGCCAAGATAAATGAGACTGTTTGCAACTTTGTTGGATCTCATCAACCTGCAACAAGTCAGATGGCTAGTGGCATGAATGGTTATGGTCTGATTAAGGTAGCTCACCAAATCTATGAGGGTGATTACAAGAAGAAGTTCAATTTGGAGCATGCATGGCGAGAGTTGAAAAATCATCAGAAGTGGTGTGCCTTGCAGGCTAGTAAAGGGAGTGACAAGAGTAAAAGAAGGAAGGTTGACTCAGGTTCTGTCCATTCGTCTCAAGCTTTCCAAGCTCAAGGAGAGTCACAAGCTGAAGGAGAGTCTCAAGCTCGCCTAGCTAGTGTGAAAGCTGCCAAGGCTAACGGGAAAAGGACTGCTACAAGCTCACCAACTGTTGAAGGAAGAGTGGAGCGAGTGGAAAGGATCCAGACTTTGTGAAATCTAACAAGAAGAACATGCTCTGAATGATAAAATGTCAAACAAGAAGATGCTTGAATCTCTTATAGAAAAATCTAGTCCTCTTTCTGAAATTGAGGAACAACTTAAAGCCAAGCTAATTGGAAAGCTTTTTCCATGAATGTCTTATGCTTAGTCTCTCTTATGCTTTGAATCTCTTCATTTTATGTTTGTAATGCTTGCTTTGACTTCAGTTTGTGTTTTTAATCCTTGCTCCTTAATCAGTTTATGTTTGTAACTTTCAGTGTGTGTTTGTAATGCTTGCTTCTTAATCAATTTATGTTTGTAACTTTCAGTTTGTGTTTCTAATGCTTGCTCCTTAATCAGTTTATGTTTGTAACTTTCAGTGTGTGTTTGTAATGCTTGCTTCTTAATCATTTTATGTTTGTAACTTTCAGTGTGTGTTTGTAATGCTTACTTCTTAATCAGTTTATGTTTGTAACTTTCAGTTTGTGTTTTTTGTGTTCAATTGGTTGCATATGGAAAATGTTTGCATCTGTTGATTCACGTGATATTTTATAAACAACTCAACTAGATATTTTGTAACCACAAGACTTTCTATTTCAATATTTGTGTAGGTTCACAGTTCAAAGAGAGAAGTAAACAAATTTTAGGACAAGCCTTTGGGATCGACTGCTGGTTCACGAACGCATGAACTACTACTGGTGGTACACTGACATGAGAGTGTTGGTGGGTCATTGGTGGGTTGATGGTAGACTGTTGGTTCACAGACATATTTTCAAAGCTTCACGGATACCACATATTTTTGTCTCTTTATTTTGTATATGCTTGCTATAAAGATGACCTGAATGATATTCTTACAAACGCCACATATGTTATCTTCTACTCTTTCTTTGTCTCCAATCTATTTCTACTTGTTAACAATAATTTCATCATATTATTCTATCAAACGACATACATTTCTTCTTATTCTACTAAATAGCAAAGCCTTTTATATTATTCTACCAAACCACAAAGTTTTCTTAAAATTCTCCTAATTCACAAATCTTTATTATAATTCTCCCAAACCACAAACATTTCTCATAATTCTCCTAAACGACAAACATTTCTCATAATTCTACCAAACCACAATCATTTATTTTTATTCTACATAACCCAATCCTTTTTTTTATTCAATCAAACCACAATACATTTCTTTAATTTTCAACACATAAAATGGCATCATTTCTTTTCTTATTGTTGAGCGGCTATTCAATGAAATTCATTTCTTTAAACAAAGAAGAGATGCAACCGGAAGGTAAGGTTTCTCTACATTACAGAAGTGTACAGCAGCAATTGGTATGCTTGCATATGGTTGTGCGGCATATGCGGTTGATGAATACCTCCGGGTTGGTGAAACCACTACCATGAAGTGCATGGAACATTTTGTTGACGCAATAATTTATTGCTTTGGAGATGAGTATCTAAGAAAACCAACGGTAGAAGATCATCGAAGGCTACTCATTATTGTAGAGATTAGAGGATTTCCTGGGATGATGGGAAGCATCGATTGTATGCATTGGGAGTGGAAGAATTGTCCCACCGCTTGGAAGGGTCAATATACACGTGGCTCTGGTAAACCAACAATCGTACTAGAGGCTGTAGCTTCCCAAGATCTTTGGATATGGCATGCGTTTTTTGGACCTCCAGCTACTTCTGCTTCAATTCCACCTTCCGTATTCTCGCCTTCTCCACAAGCTTTCATGGGGTTTAGGTCATTTGCTCGTACCACATAAGTTTGTTTCGTTTGTTTTGTTTATGCTTTTCCCCAAACTTAAGTTTCTTTGGTTCTGTTTTCTTTTTCGTTAGTTTCTTTATGTTTTTCTCCAGACTTAAGTTTCTTTGGTTCTGTTTTTCTAAGGATAGGCAAATTATCTACGTATGTTTTTTATAAAACTAGTTTGTTTATTTCACTTTTGGTAATTATTTTGCATTTTACTTTATTATCATTTATTTAAATGAAATTTTGACAATTATGTATGATTGTAACAAACGATTTTAAAAAGAATAGGGACAAATGTTAGACGCTAACTTTGTGCCAAATAAGTAATTTTTTTTACCAACTCGTAGCAATAAAATGTATCAAAGTTGGGACAGTGACATAGTCACAAATTAGGATTCATATTTTAACGTCTTTTGTAGTCACCACTTATGACAATGTGATACTATAGTTTTCGTCTTAATCCCTGACGTATTTTATTATGTTATAATAGTCATTAATTATTACATTTTTAGGCGATAAGTTTAGTTAGTAATTAAGACATATAAGTGACCATTCTTTAGTCGTATCTTGTAACAATTGATGACTGTTTTTTGTGGTAAATACTTACGTACTTTTCACGTTATGATAGTAACAAAATATGATGATTCAAAGACAATTAATTTTGTTAGTATTAGTTACGTTTTTGTTACTTTTACATTTTGTCACACAGAGTAATGAAATTGTTACTACATATATACGTAGTAATATTGTGACGGTTTTGATACAAATATTTTTTGGTGACGATTGTATTGCAACTATTAAAAATTGTCTTATATTTGTCACAATATTTATATTGTTACGAAAGTTTAAACATTGAGACGAATTTTTTTGTATCAATATAATTATTTTCCTGTAGTGATATATATATAAAGTAAACAAAGGGTCGTAGTGTTCACAAACATACCGCCAGCCTTGTATGTAACCCTCCAGAAGCAAAGCACAGCCACAACCATGTTAGTTGCAACACGTCTCCAATTGTTGTCAATTAAATCCGCAATTTCATTATAGGCAATATACGATATTTCTTGACCTCTGATCAAAATAGCAACAACGGTAACTTTAAACACAACCAAAATTATAACTTCCCATTGAGAATTAGGTTAGTTTAGAAGAACATGCGTTCACCGAAGTTGCTTACTCTAGATCCCGGAGAGAGAAACGCAGAAGTCTGGTTATTTCACGATAAGGGCCAGTCCGAGGAGCATGTACATGAAGAATTGGTTCCACACGCACAACTTCTCCCATAATATCTAGCGGTCACAAGCATACGTGAATAATAACCATTGAACCACTAAAACACAACCGATATGAAAGTATTAAAGTTACCTAAGCATATATTCCAAACAGCAAACCAACCATCTCTGACATCGTCAATGGTTTGGTAATTGATGAAATGGTTATTGGACAGAGGATCACAGTTCTCGACAACAGTTTCCGGGTTGAAATTCAAACGGTAGTCGTTGTCGACCACTTTGACATCTCTAGTCTCCGTGAATACAATGCAACTTGAAATGATTTTCCAATCATTTTCGACAATTTCATTGTTGAAAATTTGGATAAGATTGTGAGAAATAGTCCATTGGATCTTATCACCCTGTAGTCAATAAACGTATAGAATCATTAGACATCCAAATCAAAAAGTCTAGAAGTTATAATATTGTAAATCGCATAACCAAAAGGTATGACTTACGAAAATGTCGGCCAAAAAGATTTCAACTGTGTTATTTGGATCATCAGAATTCCTCCATTTCCGAACAACCCTAACACAAATCTTCCAATCGGAACTCCAAGAATGGAGATCTTTCACTCGGGTGAAATGCACCATGTTTATGAAGATTGCTTTGTGAAGGTATTACTCTTAGTTCTAAAGTTTAGAGTTTCTCTGTTGTTTTGAGTTGTAGTTGCTATTGCTAAAAATATTGATTTATATAGAAGACGGCATGGTGTGTAGGGTTTGCAAGTATGCGTCGTTTTAGTTCTAGAATTTTTTTGATGTTAATAATTAAAATCAGACTGTAAATTTTGGTAATTAGAATACTATTGAATTAAAAAACATTAATTTTTAAGAAGCTTACATTATATGTTTTCTTCTAATTTGTTCTAGTATGGTAATATTAATTAATATATATTCTATATAATACATATAGATATTTGTTCACAAATCAATGGAATGATTATTCAACCAATATTAATCTATATGTAGTACTGGAATAGTTTTCATGGTTGTTGTATATGTAAATATTGTAGTTTTATTTTCAATAAAACAAATAGTTGCATGTCGTGGGTTCCAAGGGAGTGACCTATATTTTCGAAACAGTGTTAGTTTTGGAGTGTTAGTAGTGATCTCTGTCAATATGCTTTTTATGTTGTGTATCATAACATAGATAAAACAACAAATGATAACTTCAAGGAAGAGAAGGTCACAATGTATAATTTAGAACATGTCCCTATCAGTAATTACAGTTTATTTTATAAATCAGATTCGTAATGTATAACTTACATGATCTCCAGAAACGATAGTTGCCGGATTCACCATGTCTAGAGATTCTTCCGACATCTCTTCGGTCGGTAGACCATTTTTCTGTAGGACTTTGGACAACTTGTAAGTATCCTTTCCACCCCAAATGTTTTCTTTCCCCATGGTCAATAAGAAAACATAGGTTTTACCAACAAATCCCTTTATTTGAACAGGGACATCTTTAGGGTTCTCGATCTACATTTTCAATAATATGTTAGTTTATAATTTAGAAAATTCCATAAAAATTCCCCATCTAATTTTAATTTGGAAGTTTAATACCCAATGTTATTTGATTGGAAACAAAATGCATGGTTTATTAATTTGTTGTCTATTAATACATCAAGTGTATAAAAATTGTCGAATCGAAGAAACCGCTTAACAAAACAAACGATAATCGGATTGACGGAATCACTAAACCGGAGTTAATGAAATTACACTAAACTTAGGGTTTATCGATCCCAATTTGATTTGGGGTAATAGCAAAGGACAATGTAGTCTTTGGATAACCCCAAATTACTCGTGTGTTTAGGGATTAGTGATTTCGTCAACCTCGGTTTAGTGATTCCGTCAATCCGATTAAGCGGTTTATTCGATTTGACAATTTTTATATACTTAATGTATTAATAGACCAAAATTTAATAAACCATGCATTTTATTTCCAATCAAATAACATTGGGTATTAAACTTCCAAATTAAAATTAGATAGGGAATTTTTAAGGAATTTTCCCGTTTATAATTGTCACAATTCGTGTAAGGGTAACAAACCTATTTATTTTAAATGTTACCTCATGAAGTGAGCCATCAAGAACTGTAGCAGCGGGTGCACCAATTATATCTTGAACAATACTATCAAAAAGAAGGCACTTAGTCTCACCAGTGGGATCCATCACCTTGGCATATAGCATGTACCTGATATGATTGAAACGGGCTTTATTAATTTCTTCAGTTATATTGTTAATATGGTAACGACTTACAAGAAAGTACTTACTTAGCGACAACTCGAGTGACAACAATCCTGCACACATCACACCAAAATTTTGGCTTCGCATTAGTGCCTTTACCAACATCTGATTCGAGTAAAATGGGAGTCACTTTTTTGTTGCAGTTGCAACAACTAAAATAATACCATGCCCAATCCGTGTCAAGAGCATATATTGTGTACATCAGCCTAGCTTTACCCTCCTACTTGTTTTCACAAAGATTTGGTAAGCTAGAAAACTAAAATACGGCCTATATAGGACTGATAAGAAATACACATAAACGTAAGTCACAAGGCACTAAATTACCTCATAAGTGTCTAGAAGTTCAGCAATGGTTCTCCTTGGGTAATCAAGACCACTATCAGGATGGCGATGGCCAACCTTGGGACGTGTTCACGGACAATAAGCGTAAGTCCATCTTCTTGAAGTCTAAATATTGTAGTAATTATAACCAAAAAACATTGAGGTTATTATTGAGACTGATAGTAACAACGATTAAACTATATAACCACTGAAAATGTTTAAAACTTACGATTGAGTGAAGACGTCGACTTCCGGAGAAGGTGGATTAATATGAAGCTGGGAAGCATCAAATAAGTTGGATATACTCTTGTTACCTACCACAGAATTTCATTTTGGGTTAATTCATGTTTTTTAATTATGGGTTCCGAGTTAGAAGGAAACATATGCTTACCGTTGTATGTTTTGATCTTTGCAAATCGAAGGACACATACAACCATTATTCCATTGGACTCAACACACGCCCTATGAACTTGAGCCGCAAATACACCCCAAAGTGTACAGGGCATTCTCTCATCCCTGCATTATATTCCAATTTTTTTTGTGTAAATATAATCGTATCTATGTAATACTTTACAGTTAATAAAACTCAATTGTAAAAAACTTACATTTCATCCCTGAGTTCGAAGTCAATCTTCATAGTTGGCTTATTATTAGCCTCAAAAGTTTATATTTTCCCAATATTGATAATTTGGGCCATCACATCTGTAAAAGCAATACAATCGCAAAAGTTACGCTTCTATACGTAAAGAAATGTATGTATCTAAAAGCAGTAAACAATATAAACGTACCAGTCAACATGAAGGGATTGAGATCACCACTCTGAATTTTGGAAAACTTAGCTAATGATAGGAAGTTTAAATCGGATACAAGGTCACTCAACGTCACCATTGTGCCATTTATGAAAGCCATCTTATAAAGATGGTTTGTTGGACAAAACTGACCATAAGCATGGGTTAGATGAAAGTCGTCAATGAACCTCCAATCACCGACAGGGAGATTATTCACATAAGGATTGACCAAATCTTTCTTCACCGATACGTGAATCTTGCAACCCTGAAAATAAAAATATATCATGTATTATGGATTAACAAAACAGAACACGATATGTGAAGAGCTGTGTATATGGACTAACCTAGTCGTCGGAGACAATCAACTCTAAAGCTTCTCCATTCATGCTCGTGTATTGTCTCCATGAGTGCAGGACTTTAATCTGGACTATCCATGCGGTCTTGTAAGGACGGACGTCCCGTAGGTAGGCGAATGAAGCAGCCATAATGCTGTAGTTATTATTTGCTGAGTTTATGAAGAGATGAAGTCGAGTGTGGTGAGCTTGGAGAGGTAATGGTACGGATATATATAATGGTGTGTTCAGAATTTAGGGCTTTCTAACTTATTTTCAACTTGGGTATCAAGGTGCAGTTAATTCGATTGTATGTTTGGAAATTAAATTTCGGAATAATAGAAAGAAACTATATATTAGCAGATCTGATTGGCATACACCCCAAAATATATGCGTAACTCTTATTACTGGTTGAACGTGATCTCTGAAAATTAAAATTGTTTCTCATAATAGAATAATCAATCGATGATTACGTGAATCTGAATTTTATATTCTGTCATTGTTTTTAATAAGGGGAGGTGTTACCTATATAAAAGTAGGAATGTGTTTTGAAAAATTAATTGATTACGCCCATTGGTATGCATTCAATTGCTTAAGTCTTATGAGGAAAGTTTATAATAACGCGACATCGTTTTTGTATTATTGTTTCAATACTAATCGTTAGATCCAAGAAGTTCAATCGGGTTTTAATTAATAGTTTATAAACCGAACCGAATGTATAATTGTCATATCTAACCTTAATGAAATTTCTTACGTAAGTGTTATTAGGAGGGCAATAGTTTTAAAAATAGCTGAAACCATAGGTGGTCAAAACAGTGGCTGGAAAATAATATATATATATATATATATATATATATATATATATATATAATTTTAATAGTTTAACCGCTTCCAATATGTACCCGCTTCCTATTTTGTTTTAAAAAATTCCGCTTTCTCGCTTTCAAACGTTTTCGTTTCCGCGTACCCGCTTCCGATTCCATGCAGCTTAGATTGGAACTACCCGCCCACTAAGTGGATCTTCAACACCTAGATCATCTAGTCCATCATATGCTGGTTGCATGTCTACGCATAGAAGCCAAATAACTCCAAGTATACCAATTGACCCATCTCCTACTGGTTTTTGACAATTTCTGGCACCACTAAATAATGAGCAACGATTATCTCCAAGATTACAAGTAGGATCTCCGAGCATAGGGATTGGTTGTTCTCCAAGATCAGGTTTTGGATCCCCAAGGTTAGGCTTTACACGTTATACGCCAAGACCACGAATAGGATCTCCGGGCCTAGGATTTCTCGATAATTCTCCAATAGGTCAAATGTTCCAAACACCAGGATCTGTGGGATTATTTAAAAATTTCGGACAAAACGACGCACTAACATCTCCACATCTCCCTCGACAAACCATATTTGACAATGACATGAGCGAACATATCAATAGTCTTTCTCAAGGCTGTTATAATTTAATTTTATGGGTAGGAGAGTCAATGCTACTTCGAACACAGCAAAGCAACTGAGGCTAACTAATTCTCCTTATACTATCTCTTGGATTATGTAATATGTTATTCTATTTAGGTTTTAAAAACTGATGTTTGTATGACTCTTGTATACATATTTGGTTTCTTTATAATGGAATTGGCCGACAAAAATAGATGACAGATTCAGAGAATGTAATTTTTTCTTCTTTTATTTTCTTGTTTCTAAGCAACTATAGCTTTTGTATTGATATTGAGTTGGAGCTTTTGAGTTTTGATCTTAACAAGCAATATGAAAAATAAAAGAAATCTTTTGTTACTCTTTTCTTTCCTAATAGCTATTGGTATTTGAAATATTATTACTCTTTTCTTTCCTAATAGCTATTGTTAAAAACTATCAAAAGTATTATGAAGTTAAACCATGATAATATGCATAGACTCATGTAAGGTTCATATTTGTAAAATTAAAATTGAAAACATACCTCAAATTAAATAACCATCATCCATGACCATATATTAGAAATTAATAAGCAGTAAATGAATAAGAAAGGGTTACATCATCTTTTCATCTTGTTCCCTTTGCACAAGTATGTAGAGAGAACCATAATCTCTTACTCTCTCTATTTGTTTCTCCCAAAATTTTCTATCTTTTTGTTGTTCAGAGAGATCCTAAGTAATAGGATTCTTTCTCTGTCCTATTTCACCCACAAAAGTGATAAAATAAGTGTTACAAGTTGAAACGTAAAGTCACAACATATACACTCATCAGTGAGATTGCATCAAAGAACATGCAACAGCTTGTGCCCAATGTCGTAACCTTTGCTTCACCTGCTGAGGATTGTCCCCTGCACAACTCAATTTCACAATGGTTGGTCAAAGTGTATTTGTATGGACCATACAAATTCAAATCACCGTTTATAAGAACATAATTTTGGAAAAAATATTTACCTGGACATAGGATCTTTAATGAGTCAGAGTCAGTTTTTGGGCTACAAGGTATGCTGCTTGAGGAAACAGAAGTAGAAGACAACGAGCCATCTCCTCCACTGCTGCTACGGCTGCTACTAGGTGAAGGGAGAGGCGAAATTTGCCTATTCACAGCAAAGTAAAGATCTAATGCAGGTAATGTGTTGCATAGCTTCTGTCCGGCTTCTTCACTGAAACCAAACCCTAACTCGATCGAACCTTTTAGTTCCCTTAAATCTTCATCAGTTAGATCTGGTGGATCATTATCGTTTTCAGATACGCCTTTTTGTTTCTTCTCCTGAATCTTTAACATTTGACGGCGCCTTTTTTCCCAAGCAACATCTCGTGGCGTCTCACGCATTGATAATTGCTTAGATAACCGTTGTTTCGGTTTATTTGACACCATTGTTCTAAAGTCAGGGAGTGACTCAGGAAGCGATGGCGTTGAAGACGAGATTGGTAAGCTGAGGCCTTCTCTTCTCCTCACCATTTTATCACTTTGAAGAGGTTTTCAGTTTAGAATTCGGAAATATACTAAGGTAAATTAGGGCTTTTCGTTGATGGTTTTCTTGAACTCTTTTTTTTATGAGAATATCAAAGCTTTAGCTTTGCTTATGGATCTAAATGTATGTTCTTCATCTGATGGCCGCGTGCAACACCAATTTACGCGGCCAACGAAGAAGCTTCTACGGGTCGGGTTGATCAGAAAATCTTATGTATACCCTTATTACCTAAAACTTTTGACTACCCGACCACATAAATTCTCAAAAAAGAGACTCAATGAGCTTTAATGGACATTTGGTAAAATTAGTTTTTACCATGATTTATCCAACGGATGGTTGAGCTATTTTCCTCCATTGTTTAAATTTGATACAAAGACTCAACTTGTATAATTAGGGACTTTCTTTGTTTAGATTCTTCACCCCCTAAAAGAAACGAGTTTCAGAATTATCCTACTCTAGAAGAATATACATTGACCAATTTTGTTAATTTTCCTATTTTAAGGATCAAGTCAAATTTTGGAATTCCACTATTAAACATATGGCATTTAAACTAGAGATGTTTAACAAAACATAGTTTAAAATTTTCTATTTAAAGTTTTACGAAATTAATCTTCTAACAAAAACATAATATTAAAATCATACATATTGCAAGTTAAAAACTCCAAAAGTATATATCAATCTCTTATAAGTTATAACCAATTACTAAACATAGCTCTCTTCGTTTAATCCTCTCCTCCATAGATTCTCCAACTAATTTATGTTTCTCTTTTCTGACACAACCCGAAAAATAAGCAGTTTTTGTCTTGTTCGAGGTTTCTGAATCAGTTTCTCATGGCTTTGATCAAACATCGTTAGGTTGAAGAGAGGAGAAAAAACAAGCCTCCAGTTTTCTCTGCTGGTGCTTGAGGTAATACATTCATAGAAATGTACATTTCTATTTAACAATCATTTCATGTTCGCTAAAGAATCTTAAGAAGTACTTTTTTATATGTTTCAGCCATGAACGAGAAGATCTGGATTCAATTCTCGTTCCTCTGTTTCTTCTATGTTCTTCTGATTTCTCCATCTCAATCTAATGGTCAAGATTTCTCGTTGAGCTGTGGAGCCTCAGAACCAGTTGATGATCAAGACAAGAAGAAATGGGAACCCGACACCAAGTTCTTGAAAACGCCAAACACGGTCCATGCACAAGCAACATATCAGGATCCTTCACTTCTTTCAACGGTTCCATATATGACAGCAAGAATCTTCACAGCTCCTGCTACTTATGAGATCCCTGTTAAAGGAGATAAAAGACATTTGCTCCGCTTACATTTCTACCCATCAACATACACAGGACTCAACATTGATGACTCTTATTTCTCTGTGGCAGCAAACGATGTTAGCCTTCTCAGCAATTTCAGTGCAGCTATCACATGTCAAGCCTTGACACAAGCTTACCTTGTGAGAGAATATTCTCTTGCACCATCAGAAAAAGATGTTTTAAGCATCACATTTACTCCCTCGGATAAACATACAAAAGCGTTTGCTTTCATAAATGGTATTGAGGTTGTTCAGATGCCGGAAATGTTTGATACAGCTGCTCTTGTTGGATTCTCAGATCAAACATCAGATACTAAAACCGCAAACCTCCAAACGATGTTTAGGCTCAATGTCGGTGGTCAGGATATTCCTGGAAGCAAGGACTCTGGTGGATTAAGTAGAACTTGGTACAACGATGCGCCTTACATCTTTAGTGCTGGTCTCGGTGTTACACTTCAAGCAAGCAATAATTTCAGGATCGATTATCAGAAAATGCCTGTTTCTACTGCTCCAGCTGATGTCTACAAAACAGCTCGATCACAAGGACCAAATGGAGATATAAACATGAAATCGAATCTCACATGGATGTTCCAAGTTGACACTAATTTCACTTATATAATGAGGCTCCACTTCTGTGAATTCCAGCTTTCAAAAATCAACCAGAAAGTTTTCAACATTTACATAAACAATAAAACTGCACAGGCCGATACAACCCCGGCAGATATACTTGCTTGGTCAGGAGGGAAAGGTATCCCGACTTACAAAGATTACGCGATATATGTTGAGGCAAATAATGGAGGAGGAGGTGAAGAGGTTTCACTTCAAATGACACCATCAACATTTGGTAAACCAGAATACTATGATTCACAGCTTAACGGGCTGGAGATTTTCAAGATGGACACAATGAAGAATCTTGCCGGTCCAAACCCGAAGCCATCACCTATGCAAGCTAACGAAGATGTCAAAAAAGAGTTCCAAGGTGACAAAAGAATCACAGCATTCGTCATTGGTTCTGCTGGAGGTGTAGCAACGGTATTGCTTTGCGCACTATGTTTCACAATGTACCAAAGGAAACGTAAATTCTCAGGTAGTGATTCTCACACATCGAGCTGGCTTCCTATATATGGAAATTCCCACACATCTGCAACAAAGTCTACTATATCGGGTAAGAGCAACAATGGGAGCCACCTATCCACTCTCGCTGCGGGTTTATGTCGAAGATTCTCATTGTCAGAAATCAAACACGGGACTCAAAACTTCGATGAGTCAAACGTAATTGGAGTAGGAGGTTTTGGTAAAGTTTATAAAGGAGTTATAGATGGAGGGACAAAAGTAGCAATCAAGAAATCAAATCCGAATTCCGAACAAGGACTTAACGAATTCGAGACAGAAATCGAACTTCTCTCAAGACTACGACACAAACACTTGGTCTCCTTAATTGGATATTGTGATGACGGTGGAGAAATGTGTCTAATTTACGATTACATGTCTCTTGGAACACTTAGAGAACATCTCTACAACACAAAGAGACCTCAATTAACTTGGAAACGAAGGCTTGAAATCGCCATTGGTGCTGCAAGAGGATTACATTACCTCCACACAGGAGCCAAGTACACAATCATACACCGTGACGTGAAAACAACTAACATTTTACTAGATGAGAATTGGGTTGCAAAAGTTTCAGACTTTGGATTGTCCAAAACCGGACCAAACATGAACGGTGGTCATGTCACAACAGTCGTTAAAGGAAGCTTCGGGTACTTAGATCCAGAGTATTTTAGAAGACAACAGCTAACTGAGAAATCAGATGTTTACTCATTTGGAGTTGTTCTATTTGAGGTCTTATGCGCTAGGCCAGCGTTAAACCCTAGTTTATCTAAAGAACAAGTTAGTCTTGGTGACTGGGCGATGAACTGTAAACGTAAAGGAACATTAGAAGACATCATTGATCCTAATCTTAAAGGAAAGATTAATCCAGAGTGTTTGAAGAAATTTGCAGATACGGCTGAGAAGTGTTTATCTGATAGTGGATTGGATCGTCCAACGATGGGAGATGTTTTATGGAATCTTGAATTTGCACTTCAGTTGCAAGAAACTGCTGATGGATCACGTCATCGAACACCAAGCCATGGCGGCGGTTCTGAGGATTTAACCGGACGAGGAGGAGGAGGTGTGGTGGTGAACATTGGTACCGGAGAAAGTGACATTGGTGATGACTTGTCATCAGAAGAAAACAGTGAAATATTTTCTCAGATTGTAAATCCTAAAGGACGATAAGGTAAATCACAATCATTCAAAGAGTATACTTTTTTATTTAATGTGAAGTAAAGGAAAAAACAATGATGATATGGTGTCTTGTTTTGTTTTGTTTTTTTTGAATGTGATAGGGAAAATAAAGAAGAAAAGAAAAATGGAGACAAGTAGAAATTCATTCGCTTTTTTCTTTCTTTTTTTTTTTTTTTAATTTGCTTGATGCTTTAATAATTTAATCGAATGTCAAAACACTTGTAAAATTGTTTCCCTATATGGTGTTATATGTTATGAAGAACAATATTGTTTATAATGATGTTTTAAGCAAAATTATATTTTAGGCTTATAAGCGACTTAAACCAAATGTATTGTACACATGAAAACAATAAATTACATTATTACGTTACCTAGAATTTGAGGATGTCTATTTTAACATGCAATTAGTGGAAGTTATAAGGGATTCAAAGGAGTGGATGTATCTACACTAGGGAGATTAAAGAGCAAGAACAACAAATTTTATTAGAACATTTTTTTTTGCCGTGAGACAAACCAATGTGACGATTATTTACTAGACTTGGGCATTCGTATTTTCGTATTGGATAATAAAAATTATTTGATTTGGATTATTCATATTGGAAATCTTCGATCAGAATCCTAATGTTTTTTTGGATCAGATCGGCTCAAAGTTTTTGGATTCAAATCGATATATAAATTATATTGGAAATCTGAAGGGTAAATAAGACATCGGTAAGTTCGCAATCATCCAAATTATGTAAAATTTACTCGATCAACCCTAGTTTATTTTGGGGTTAGTTAAAAATATGACCATAGAAAAACTGAAAACAAAAAGAAAGGGAGTCATAAGTTAATAATTAGTTCTTCCTTCTCAAGAGAGAAGAAGTTACATCAGTATTCCTAACTCATTAACAAAATAAAAAATGTCCATTATTACTTATATCCGCTAACAAAAAGTTTAACAAGGTAAAAAATTAACAAGAAAAAATACGATTCATCACACTAAAAAAACCGTATTTTTGGATATTTATTTAATTAACAATATAAATTATATTTTATCGCGATAAATGATTGTTTACGAGATAAATATATACTTATCATGCTAAATAATTTGTTATTCTATTGAGATTAGCGAAAAATTTAGTTATTACCGTTCACTTAAACATTAGCATATTTATTTATCATAATAATATAATTATATATTTAAAATATGTTAACAAAAATATATATGTTGCTAATTAAATTATTAAAAAAATTACATCTAGAAGAATATGAGATCAACCGTTGTCGTCGATGATACTCATTCAACTCTTTATAGGTTAACCTCATAAAAATATTTAACAAATACGTCACTGAACACTTATGCTGGTATTTGAACCTTGTGGCTCAGTCCGTTCGATAACAATACAAAAGAAACTAATGTTATAACCAATGTTATAAAAAGCGCTAGGCGCTCTTCGGGCGGTGGAGTAGCGCCTAGCGCCTAGACGGTTTAGGCGGGGATTAATCGTCGACTAGGCGTTAATGGAATTTTTTTGTTTTCCCATTATTATTTAGGATATGTACCCTGTAATGTAGTAATATTCAAAAAAATTATAGTGGTCCAGTGGTATTATTGCCTTTCAAGCATCCTGCAGTCATCAGTTCGACACCTAGCTGGCCCATTTTTACGGTTTTGTTAATAAACTGAAAAGGACAAATGTATAGATTACATTTTCATGTGGATCATCTTCTTCCCTGAAACCCTAATAGCCGCTGATTTTCAGCGTCTTTTAACTCAACCTTTTCGTATTTCTTCCACGTTTTCCACTATTTCTTCATTTAATTTAACCAAAATAACATAGATATACCATTTATCTACAGATTCATAACAAAAAATGAAGTTTACTATGGTTTTCTATTTTCACCGATTTTCTTGGCCGCCTAAAGTAAAATCGCGGCGGATCACCTCTAATTAGCGCCTCCACGGCGCTTAAACGCCCGCCGTGACCGATTTTTATAACATTGGTTATAACTATGAAACACTTTAGACGTCGTGCTTTTTTGGATGTCATCTCAATTATGACCATCACATATACAATCTTTATCGTCGGTATCATCATCACGAGTATAACCATCATTAACAGTGTCACCTCTTTTCTTTCCAATCATCACCACGTTGGAAATATCATCATCTATATCACCGTTTTATTTACAATTTTCCCATCATTATTTCGCTTTTTCTTACTTTTGCTATTTTCCACATAATATATTATATGTTAAATGTATAGTTATCTGATAAGTTTATTTATTTTTATTATTTATTTGTTGAATTGAATTACCACGATAACATGTTATATATATATATATATATATATATATATAAGTTTATATTTATTGTGCTAACTCAATTATCAACTAATAAAAGACTTCAGGGCTAAAATGGTCCAAAAAATCCATGCCAAATTATTAAAAGAAGAGTGCTATATACTTAATTAAATGGTCAAGTGAGGCTATGACATGCAATTTCCCTTTATTTTGTAGCTTTCTTTCTTATTACATGATACCGTTCTTGAGAATAATACTCCCGTCCATCTAAATTAAAACGATACCAAACTGTAGTAAAGTCCATTGCCCTCTCTCTCTGGATTGGACTTTATCAACTTACGCTATGAAGCCCATACATATATGTTTGAACATCTTACTTCTCAACCAACCTCTAAAGATGTAAAAATATAATAAGGTTTTTGTAAGAAATTTTTATATTATTATAGAACTAAAATTAACTCAAAAGTCAGTTTATAGTGGCTTAGAAATTTGTCATTTGTCATATAGCACAAAAGTCAAATCATAACAATCACGAGAACAGGCGTGGCTCGATTTCAACTAATTATATAACACATTTTCAATGGACCTCCTAAACTCATTTATCTAATTTTAACATCATATAAATTTGAAAATTATATGATCCTTATTCATTCGTTGCTTGTTTGTGAGTGGGCATACTCTTTCATATTTACTTAAACTTCTAAATTAGAGTTTTCTTATTGGAACAAAAAGATATAATAAACACATTACATATAACTGTAAGAAAATTATTTATTCTTACCCATGTATGTGGTCTTATAGTTAATTGGTCTCTTATTTGGGATTGTTATATTTTTATAAAATTTTGGTAACCAATAAAATTGGTTATTAAGGAGTTAATTCCTAAATGAATTTAAAGAACAATAAGAGGACAAGTGTTTATAGGAGAGACAAGTGTTAAGTTGCATGTCATGTTTGGTTCATTAATGGACAAGTGTTAAGACACATGTCACTCTTATGTTAAGAGAACCATGCAAAAGAACACTTGTTAAGTTGCATGTCATGTTTGGTTCATAAATGGACAAGTGTTAAGACACATGTCACTCTTATGTTAAGAGAACCATGCAAAAGAACACTTGTCCTCACACTTGTCACCATTGCCTTAATCTCTACTTTGATGGATGGTTGAGATTAAATTGGAAGGCAAAACCCTAATGAGGAA